TATATATATATATATATATATATATATATATATATATCGACTTTGAACATAAACTATCTAATTTTTTTTATTGTGAAATCTAAGTGTTAGAAAACTCAAAATCTTATGAAAAATAATCATTTAATGATTAAGCCAAATTTTTATATTGAAAAAATTCTCCCAAATAGGTCTTTTGGCTGAGAGAGTACGTGAATAGTATATGCTCTACATCCCAAAAGTATAGAGTTCTAAAATCACTTTAACTTTGGCTTTTATCCTAGGGAGTAAATGGACAGTATACTCCCCTCAAGACCAGGAAATCTATTAACATAATAGCACGTTGGACCATACATTTCAACTACATGTGATACCATGCTATATCATAGTATGTCCCATTTATTATTGTCCGTATAATATGTTAGAAAAAATACGAAAAGACCATTTACTTTTAGCAGAAAGAAGTAGCAATTATTCTTGTTATTTAGATTTCAAATCGGGTGGCTATAAATATCTTATTGACTAGATTCTAAGTTCCAAAAAATAATTTTTCAAATTTGGTGGCACACTCCAATCAATCCAATTTAACATCTAAGAACTATGAGTCATTGTTAATTTATGACATCTTTGTAGGAAGATACTCGTAATTTACAATTCCTAATATAATACACTACCGCATATATTCCATCATACAAGCCCACGGCAGTTGGTCTAGTCTAGGCCCTATTCTATATTTGAGGACCCAGACCTAGCCAAAATAATTTGTTCTAGACATGAGTTCAGTCTACAGGAGCTCTACACTTGATCCTAATCTTTGTAGTCCATGTTTTCCATAGACCAAATTCTTTAGACTCTCCCTCTTAATATATATTTGTGGCAATACCAGCTCCAATGGGTTTCCCACCCAGGTTATAAAATCCAATGAAGGAATACTTATAGGACCTCAAATTAGGGTATGTAATATCCCTTAAGTGATGTAATCTCCTTAACTTAAGGGTGGCAACGTGCCCAGCCTGGGTCAGGCCAACTGCCTTTGTCCTTCCACTTTAATTTGGTGTATCGTTTTTCAGTAGACCTTTAGATTGAAAACATATTCAGTTGCATTAATTTTTCAAGAAGGCTACATTCTAACCCTATAAACCCATTTGACCTATGACATTAGTACATGCCAAATAAATTTCTAAATGATAGGCTCGCTTTCCCGCTATTCTTTTACTGTTGTAATTCCCCTCTCTCTCTCTCTCTATATATATATATATATATATATATATATATATATATATACGAAGTA